ATTATTATTATTATCATTATTATGATTATGATTATGATTAAGATAATGATGATGATGATGATTATTATTTTCATTGCAGTTGTTGATGTTGTTGTTGTTGTTGTTGTTGTTGTTGTTGTTGTTGTTGTTGTTGTTGTTTGGTTTTTTTTTTAACAAGCATGTTTGCATTGGACAAAGACGACACTGGATAAAGAGAAGGGTGGTAAAGATCCCTATACCGCGAGAACGCTGTTAAAATGAGCTAAACCCAGAAAACCTTATTTTACAGGAGAGAGAAAATAACAAACCCAGTTTTATTCGCACCACAGTTCTACCTTCACAACGCAATTTTCTTGCTTTGTTATTTAATAGTTAGAATTTGAATTTCGACTAAATATTTTTGGAGCACATAAAGCCGATAAGGGTCTGCCACAGATTAAGAAACTGCAGTTTTATAAGAATGTAGAAGTTTGGACTTAGTACATCTTAACAGCTTGCTGACGGTAGAATGTTTTTGCGGATGTTTTTTGTCTTCTTGTTATTACTTTCTGTTATAACAGGAATGTTTTTTTTCCTGATATTACTTTCTGTTGGACACCCTACCACAATATGCCCAAAGGCCCAGGAAGTTGTCTCTCTAACAAGGCTATCCCCAATGTTCAGATTGGATCGGGAACAACTTTACTTAGTGTAATTCTGCTATAGTGTACATTGTTCTGTCTTTGCAGGGCATCATGGAGACGGCTACTTCCTTAGGGTTCATGGTTGGCCCGGCAATCGGCAGTTTTCTCTACGAGGTATCTATCTAGATTATATATTTGGCAACTTGGAAACATATGTGTCACTTTTCCCATAAAACTACCACAGCTACAGAGTCGAAAGTTGGCATGTACCTGCAAAAAGATAGATAGGTCCGGCCATGACAGAGCCCGATTTTTTATTTATTCATTTCCGGAATTTAGAAAATATATTTCACAAAAAGTTCCCGTCCTTCTTTGGCCCTTGTGATTATTCCATTGAGAAATATGTGTATGCTGTCCTTCACAACGGAAGTGCGGAAGTGACATTTTGCGAGGCACATTTTGTTTTAGGGGGTATAGATCTAGGCCCTTCTATTTTTTGCATCTCTCAAGATTTATTGTTCCATTCCAGTAGAGTGTAAATATAGTAGTCAAATAACTTTCAGTTGATCTTAATGTACCGATCATTCCTTTCACCGAAAGGGGGCCCAGCTAGTATATTATATTTGTAAAAGTTCGTCACTTTGGTGGCCTAAAACTTCCAAACTTTCGAATTTAAAAAAATGATGGTTAAAAATCTTTTAAAGGGTGCACAGTCAGTTACATTAAGGAATCTGAACTCAATGTAGTTTATTGTTCAGTTTTCATTAGTTTCGTTTAGATCTAATCGTGGGAAAGTCCGTCTTCTAAGACGCCATCGTAACAAAGATAGTACAAGACAAGATGGGTCACTCAGCCTAAAAAGTGTCCGCAGGAAGTATGCTCTT